GAGATTTTGAACCACATCCCTCCTGTATACAACCCCTCGTTCAGCCCTTCCGTCTCGCAATCAAAAAGCTTTGGCCCATCATCCTGCATTTGCCATCGAAAGAACCAACAGAGGTTGAAAGAGGGCGTTTGTTATCAGGAGTGGGCTTCACGTGATGCAGGGTCGTCATCAACAGCCTCGGGTTTTTTGTGGTGTCCCCTTTCTTCTTCAACAGGTGTTCGGTTGACTGAGTTGATGTCATATGTCTCAGCCTTGTAAAGGGTATGGGAGCATGTGAAAAGCATTAATGCGGAATGCCCAGGTATGTCACCAGCATGAAAGTCACAGGTGGAGTGGTCGACCTCAAGGAATGACGCCTCCAAGCTGAGCAGTTTAGGGTTTAGGGACTAGTAGGACTAGGGTTTTCGTACCCAATCTGGGACGAGTAGTTGGAAAGCACTGCAGCCTAAGACGAGAAGCAGCCGCAGCCGCATGTTCCATCCGCTCTCAGTTGCTTAGGATTGAGAATGGGAATAAGGATATATATATACATATGTATAATATACTGTTTGCATAGGGCCATATAGGGTATTTTAGGAATTACATAGGAATGTATTGTATAGAGATGATGGAAGGATGCCAGGACATCTCAAACTCGAGGTTCACTTCCATGCTCTGTGCAGGATAGTCGCTGCAGAAACACGGGCGGTGCCATCTTCGCTTCTGTGGTCGTGGCACAGACAGGAGGCAGTGCCTCGCCTCCGGAAAGCACTTACCCGTTGCAACTCTTAGGGTTACAAGGATTGTCTAGGGATCTATATCCATATAGGGATATATAGGGGTAGTGGAAAAGAAAATGGAAGCTACTACAAGGGGCTATATAGGGTTTTATTATAGGATTGTGTAGGGATAGTGGAACAGAAAATGGAAGCTACCATATTATAGGGGATTATGTACAGGTTATGTAGGGATAATGGAAAAGAAAATAGAAGCATTATACGAACCCCCCGCTGAACGGCCGTTGCTCCAAACAGGGGTCCACCTTGGAAGGAGGCAGTTTCCAAGTCGGGATCTAAGGCAACAAAAATGCCCACGCTGGCCCTCAAAGTCTGTAAGCCGTGCTGTTTTGGGCTGTTTGGATCTCTGGGGAAGTTCTTTCAAGTGTCCCGGGACCAGGTATCAACATCCAGGATGCAGTCACAACTTTTGGCGGGGGGATCCGCAGCTACTGTTCCTTGGCATCTCTGCGTACCGGCGCCCCACTTCAAGAGCCCTGCAAGATTATTTTGTTTTTTTTGACCGGGAGGCAGGGAGGGAGGGAGGACATGGAGAGAGAGAGGGAGAGAGCTGAATCCTGGGACTAGACGGACTAGACAAAAGCCCAAGTAGTCCCTTACTTTCCTAAAGACCTACCATCCTTGAAGCTCAAAACCCGAAATCTCCTCGAACCACGATACGAGCTATAGTTTAAACTCCTTAAAGGGGGTTTTGGGGCTATTTAGGGGAACCTTATCGGACTTATTAAGAGGGAGTTTAGACTACGGCTCAGATATCCCGAATCCCTATAAACCCCAGTTTCCATTTCATGTTCCATGTTCTTTTCCATCTGATTCTCCACTATAGGGGCTATTAAGGGGAATACTAGGAGTTTAGAACCTAAACCCTAAACCCATAGCTCAGGGTTTTCGCAGAAGGGCGGATGCTTGAAGCTGAGCCACTGCCGCGCGGAAGCTTGTCCAGCTTTATGTTCAGGGCTTTAAGGGCCTATAGGGCATATAGGATTTATAGGATTCAGGGTTTAGGGTTATGTACGGGCTTAGATTGCTTTTAAGTGACCATTTACACACCAAGCTTCATCAGCACTAGGTCTACTCGCATTGCCCGCCCGGCCCCTGCCAGTCTGCAAGCCGTCCCTGTTGCAACGAGCGTAGCCCATTCACCTTTGAGCTCAAGCGTTTTGAAGCCCTTGGTCAGGATTCCTTTTGTGTGTTGTTTATGGCCTGGGCTCCCAAATGTAGAAACTAGGTCCTTGTACAGAAGCATGGGTGAAACGCTCCCGTGTTGCATCGGCATGCAGTAACGCCCCGTCTGAACAATACTGATTTCTGTTGCAAACAAATTCCAGAGCGCACCCGTAAAGTGACAGCAGCAGAGGAGATCGGTTTTAGTAGTGGCAATACTGGTAGCACTAGCAGTAGCAGTAGCAGTAGCACATGCAGTAACAGTAGCAGAAGCAGTAGCAGCAGTATCAACAGTAGCAGCAGTAGCAGCAGTAGCAGCAGCAGCAGCAGTAGCAGTAGCAGGAGGAGGACTGGTAGTGGTGGTGGTGGTAGTGGAAGTGGAAGGAGTAGTGGTAGTCATAGCAGCAGCAGCAGCAGCAGGAGGAGGAGTAGTAGTAGTAGTAGGCTCCGGTCAGGTTCCTGACGGTGCGTTTTCGTGGCATCGCAGGGCTAAAAGTGTTGTAAATTTGAGTACTTTTACATTTGACGCGGGCGCGGTTGCCCTTGAAATTTTCGGGACGTTTTCTTAGAGTCATGTTTGAGAAAGGAAAACATTATAGCAAAGGTCGTCTTTGAATGGCCCTTATTAATTAGAAAACCCACATAATAAGAAACATGTATTTTGAAGAGGTGCCCCTATTTCCCAAGTAGGAAGAAACATGTCTACAGGACAGGTCCCTTTTAAATGCCCTTTTTTGAGAGGCCCCGCGCTCTAACTACCAATAATATCATGATGCCACTTCTTCTTCAGATGAGCTCCTCGAGACCTGGGAATATAATGGGGCGTGACTTGGACTAATGGGGCGATTATAAAATTGAATCAGAACTCCTCGAACCCTTGGACTAATGGGGCGTACCCTGGACTAATGGGAACGATGCTTGGACAAATGGGGCGATGATCAAATTAAACCAGAACTCCTGACACCCTTGGATAAATGGGGCAAACCTTGGACTTAGCGGGCGATAATGAAATTGATCCAGTAAACCCAACAACAGACCAGCTTCAGTGCTCCATTGAAACGCGACTAGGCCCCAAAAGTTAGAGGGCAACTATTTTCAAAATTCGGTCATGTGCATAAAGCTACACCGCCATTAACTCGACCGTTACTTACTAGTAGTAGTAGCAGTAGTAGTAGTAGTAGTAGTAGGAGCAGTAGGAGCGGGAGTAGGTAGGAGTAGGAAGGAGTAGTATAGGAGTACTATAGGAGTAGTATAGGAGTAGTATAGGAGTAGTAGGAGGAGGAGGAGTAGCAATAGTAGTAGCCGGAGCAGGAGCAGTGGCTCGCGCAGAAGCACTAGAAACGGGAACAACCAACTGTGTAGCATCATTAAATAAGACTATGCTCTTCCTTTGTGGTCTCGGCATAAGAGGGCAATGTAATCGTACGTAGTTTAGCCACCAAGAAATACTCAATTCAATTGTTTCACTCGTTTGTGCTTGCCACTGAGGAAGCGTCAAGGGAAGAAGAGTCAGCACCTGGAGGCGCTGATGACATAGCTTGTCTCGCACGCTGCTAGCATTTGATTGCCAAGGGTGAATCAAAGCCCATTTCGGGATAGAGTTCGGGCTTCGTTGAAGGCGATGAATGCTGTGTAAAAGCCTACACAAATGCTCGAAACGTGCAATGTGCAATAGTATCCGTGGCTTCTATATCCAAATTCCTATACCTCATATTGCGAGAGTGATGAGGAACGTACACGCTGCGTGTCGCCAACAGGTGCCATGTACATCCTTGGTGGTGTTTTTCAATCGAAGGGGGCAGCGACTTGGACTTACAATAACTAGCTCACATGAAAGCTTCTCAACACAATTCTGTTGAATCCTGAGTGGGGACAACCAGAAGTTCCTTGAGAATCTAAATGTCTTCCCAGCCTTCCTTAGGGCCAATCTGTTTCAGAGAAGCCTGGGAATGCCCTCAAAGAGAACGCCCTCTCGAGCCTCTCCAGCAATGTCTGATGTTCCTCCTGGAACCGCCACTTTTCAGACGATTAGGGTTTGCCAGAGCAGCTCACCAAGGAAATGCTCTTCGAGAACATATCAGCTGGCACATTTGGAGGCAAGATTCATGATGACCTTTGATTCCCAGAGTCATACTCCTGGCGAGAATTCCTCTGAGTAAGATGGATTTTCGGGGCTCTTTAGCGGGTCAAGCAGGGGACGGCCCTCACGATGGCATGGGGAGGCTTGGGCAGCAAAAAACACCGTGGCCCACGAAGTCTGGGGTTCGGACTGACTTGCTAATTGTTAGCGAAGAATCAAGGAATGGAAAGGACCCTGGGAATATTCTATGATTGGGCTTTGTAGAGGGACTTCTGCATGGATGTATGTCATCATGCCACATTACCACCCAGTGAGTGGAAGCTGAGTCCAGGAGGACGGTAAGCAACTATGAAGGGTTCCGTATTGATGCAGGAGTTGGAATGCTGTGGCCAGGGTCTGTGCAAACTATTTCCCCTTTGCTACCTACCGTGTACAGAGCAGGTTCGCACACATTGATCACCCTTCTTCAACATGTCTGCATAAGTAGGACATCCAAACATATAGCTACTAGTGTAAAGTGTGCAGGGACACCTGGATTACCTTCATCGCAGAAGGTTGAGAGCCCTTGAGCTAGCACGACATATCAGACTGCCATCTATGACTTCTACACTGCCGCCCACCATTCTGGACCCAGCTGATGTTTGCGACTTGCTTCTGAAAACCGTATGAACTCTACATGCCGCCCGCAGCTAGATATCTATCGGATGAGTCGACGGATACGATGATACATGTAGCCGCGGCAAGGTAGGATACGGAGGATTCCTTGCAACATGAAGTAATGAGTCCCTACATCTGATCTTCCGAAAGATGAGTTGCTGTAGAGCGGGCGTGCTCAGAAACACTTGCAAAGAGTGAAGCTTTGTCTACGACCTTCGGCTCATACGCCCGCCAGTATCAGATATTATCGGAAGGTTCATGCACATGTCGTGTTTGCCATTTCCTACATGCAGGGTTCCTGTGTCCACATGCAATCCCTACACATGCCTCACGCGCGACCCCTTCCCTGTAGCCCATTGGAACTCGCGCTCTTCCTCACAGGAGGTATCAACTCCATCTTCCTCATCTCGCGGGGAAACATCACCTTTCAGAATGTCCAGGTGCCTGGTCAGCCAAAAATCGCAGGCTGTCTATGGATGGTATCTCTACCTCCCAGCGGCTTGTTTCTACAAAGGGAGTCCATGCATGTGCATTATGGAATAAGCATTGAACTTGTGGTGCCTGTTCCTGAGCCCAGAGGATGCTTCTGATCCTCTGATATCTTCCGTCTCTGACAGATTACACATACATGCATCCCTATGTACTGGCGTACGTACACACCTAAGTAAATAGACAAACAAATAAGTGTACACCTCCGCAATAGAGATGTCTCATTCTGATGGGAGCCTCCAAACTCCTCCAGCCTACTCGCCAATACTTACCGCCGGCCCCAGTCCTAAAAGACTTTATGGCCCCCCAGGATCTAGGCCCCGATTAACACTCAGCCCTACCGTACTTTTCAAGCTTTACCAGGACCTCAAGGAATACTTTCTTTTGAGTACGGAAAAAATGTATTCCGTAGCATTATCACAAATTCAGCATGCATGGGCCTTTTGGGACAGGGGTCCAAAGGGCTCAACTAGTGAAAAATACTTCTAGTACGGATTCGAAGGCCAAAAGGTGAAAATTGAGTACGCTTTTTTTCACCGGTTTGTTGGGTTTGTACGGGTTTAGTACGGGTGCGGATTTCGCTGGATATAGAATTTCAACATGTTTTTCACCATTTGGCCCCCGACGTTGGACACTGGCGTCCAAAAAAGGGTATCCCAACAGTAGGACTCAAAACCTTCAATACCTTGAGGCCACATTTAGCATAATAGAAAGTAGTCCCGAAACCAAAATGTATTCCGGTTAAGAAAAAAGTATTCTGCCTACTAGGAATACAAACAAGTATTCCTCTGCATTCACTGGTAAACCCGAAAGTAGTGACCGAAAACAAACCAACAGTCTCAATCTTGTGGCGCTTCCATATGCGAGACCTTCTCGAACTCACCCATGCCTCGTTGCTAGCAAGGACCCCCCCATTTCGAGAAACTCCCATCTGTAGAGGCCGGTCGGAACGGTGGCTGCATTTACCTCCACAAGTACAAAGCCGGGTTTGCCTTAGCCTGAGCATGATCCCAATGCATGAGGTTAAAGGCGGTTCATATTAAGGGGTTGTGGAAGTACTGTGGCTATGTCGGCATCATATCGAATGACGTGGTTGGTTGGTTGATGGCCTGTCACGGAGTATTTTCTGGATTATACATCGCAGGGCTCAGGGCAGGAATAGGGCATAGCGTGCGTGGTTCTTGGTATGTGTGATCGTCGCCCGAGCCTGAGAGGGAGGACGGAGGAGTGCATCTCTCCGTCGATTGGCCCCAGGGACTCTCCAGGAGATCACGCGGTGGGATACAGGGCTTCATCCCACCCAAATTCGGAAAAGCTGAACCAATCTGGTTCGAGGTTCAGTGCTTGCAAGACTTTGTAAATCTGTTGGTCGGCACGATAGCCGTGTACCGTCCAACTCAGTTTTCGGTTGGCCCCACCCCTCACAAGTTACGCAAAATTTCAGCGCAAAAACCCAAACTAGATGGATGCTGGATATATGACTTCTGGGCAAGGGGTCGCTGGATATTGGAGAAACGACTGAGTCGTGCCTGCCGCCTTCTCCCTCGGTTTCAGAACCGTGCCAAACCCATAGAGATGTACCAAAACAAGGAACCTTTGCTGCTCCTAGAAGTTTATGGCAATGACAAAGGGAGTATGGGTTTGTGGGGTCCTCCTTAAGGACTTTAATTATCAGGTTTAGGGTTTAGGGTCCATCCCTACACCTTCCATCAGCGACAGGGTGTGAAGAAGGGCAATTACAAGATGACGATGGCAAGGCTGGCCAAGGAGCCTGGACTACGCTGGGTTGCTATTAAGGAACTTGAATTAATTAAGTTACAGTAGTATGGATATATTGCAAATAATATGGTTTCCTTATTGCAGGATTGTAGCTTAAGTTCCTTGACAGCAACCAGTATGGTTTAGGGTTTAGGGGTTTCTGGGTTGCCGGCGGCAGGAGGATCCCAGATTCACCCGAAGTAGCTTATGATGCCACAGATTTTTCCATATAATCCTTTGAGATTTGAAATTTCCAGGTGCTTAGGGTATGGCTTGGCTCTACGGGGCTCTCATCAGGGCCCAGAATGGTATTGTGCTGAAAGGCCTATAGGTGTGGTGAAGTCATTTTCGGCAGGAGTCCTGGAGTCCTGAGGGTAATTATTATGCTGCTCCACGTATTTCTTGGTGGTCATCAGGGGGATGTTGGTACCTGCTGCAGGTTCAGAGTTTAGGTTCAGGCTTGAGGCTTCGAGTGAAGGATCTAAGGCCCTGGGCTTGTCGCAAGTCGTCCTTCAATCAATATTGGTGTAATATAGGATAATATAGTATATATATATAGGGATACTGGAAAAGAACATGGAAACTACTATATGGGCACGTGCCAAAACGATTGGCTTGTAA